ATATATATATATATATGTTGTCTTTACCAGAGAGAAACCTGAAAGGGGCCTGAAAGCGGCCTTTTTTGTAATAAACAAAAGTCACCGTACGCTAACGGCGTCAATTTTATAAATTGATGTGAACTACGTATCATATTTTCGCCATTATTGATAAAATCGTAGTGTCGATAAATGGATTTGGTGCTACATTTCACAAACTATGAATAAAGACAATATTAATTTACAAAAAAATGTTTTTTTTTAGGTGTGTTTTATAGATTTTTAGATGTTGAAAACGATGCCACAAGTTAAATTTCACTAGCACGTCAGATTTTCGAAATAACGAGATTTAATGTACAGAAAGGACTCTTTTGTATATTTAAAATGTTCTTGTAAATTAACGTTATCTCGAAATTATAATCAGAAGTCATGAATGTATTGTTCATTCTCTATAAAATATATTCTTTTTACTTCAATATCTTACTTTTTAGTCGCATTATGAAGAATTCAAGAATTCAAGTACAGAATTTTTCTAAGATAGTAAATTGCCGCCTTTAACAATGAAATCATTAGACTTATAATTTCTAGTTTGTGACTATCAATACACACAATGTAATTTATCGTTATAGATTCTGCTAAATATATATATATATATATATATATATATATACGCGCGCGCGTGTGTGTGTGTGTGTGTGTGTGTGAGACAGAGAGAGAAGACAACATTTATTTTAGAATATAAAAATTTCAGCAGCGATTAAGTTACACATACTTAAAATATTTACTTTAGTATAGCGTTAGAAAAATACAGATAATCAGTATATCAAGGCATAAATCCAAAATGCAAGTTCCGAATCTTTTGTTTCCTCAGTTATAGTCATATGTCATGATCCACTTTTTTAAATTCTTGAAATACGTTTTACATTTCGCGTTGTTTTTTTATTAATGCTTTTCTTACTCAGACTGTAAAATTTTTCAGTTGTAATTTTTCAGTTGTATTAATTTGTTTTTAAATTGAATGAGTATACTGGATTCATAAAATTAATATCTTTAAAGTATTTAATTTCTTCATTAATGATATTATAAATGTCAAAATAGGTTCATCACTGTTCTTAAATTCATACATATCATAATCTGACACAAATATTCCTCTGATCTCATTGACAATGTAATTTTGCAGAATCCTTATATTTTCCTTGCTTACATTGTAATCAACAATGAATTTATATAACAAGAATATATATCTGTGAAATTGTTATTATTTAGTTATTATTATTAATTATTTAAACCTTAGTTTTCTTTCTTTCTCCTAAAGCAGTATGGCGTTTTCTGTGTAAGAGCTACAGTCCAATTTAAGGCTAAATGAATAGAAACAGAAATATCATATAAAATATCATATTTATATTATTACACAAACAATTTAAATGTTTTAATCATTTTCACTCTTTCAAATAAAATATAGGAGATTGATGATCATTTCAGCAGTGGTTTTAAACTCCTTCAACTGTGTGTGATATTGGAACTATGTAATTTTGAAATGTACAAAGAACGAACATTACAATGAACCACTTTAATTCTATGCATGTGGTACAAATGAAATTTTGGCTCCTTAAATTGAAACAGAAATAACGTTTCTGCTCAGCCAAGAAGACAATCAATTTTTTTAGTTACCTTATTCCGCTAAAGAAAAATAGTTTTTTAGATTACTAAAAAAATATAGTAGATTTTAACATTCTTATAAACGTTCTTATAATGTTTATTAGATGACATTTATTAAAAAACATCAACAACAACAAATTTTAAGTCATTCCTTTCTGTGAAATTTATTTGTATTCTTCTACTAATCACGTTAAATTTTAGAGAATTCGAGAAAGAAGAATAGTTCAAAATAGTAATACACTATTTACGCAGATTTTTAATTTCCAAATAAATAATCGTTATTAAATATAATACGTATTATAAATAAATATCACTTGAATTAATTATTTCGGGCGTCTTTTGCATTAATAAACATCTTTTTTTTTTAAGTTAATCAATGAGCAGAGTGTCTAAAATCAGCGCATAAAACAACTTTAAGATATTTTTAAGAGTTTTTTTGAGAAACATCTTCAAGATATTTCATAAAGAACTCTGAAAAATATTTTAAAGCTGTCTTAAAGCGTCAATTTTATCCGCTTATTCGGTAATTTTTAGAAATTAATATCTCTTAACTATTGCGAAAATTACAAACTGATAAAGAAATTCAAGTTCATTCTACTTACCCATAAGATTATGCGGACATTACCAGACATCCTGTATACATACAATTATATATGAGTACTGCACTTATTTACAGTAGAACATTATTTCGCATTGGATTAAATTTTTGAATATTAAAAACGATGCTGTAAGCTAAAAAATTTCAGTTAGATTTCCAACATAATTTTAATGTTTAAAAAATGACTTTTTTTACAACATTTAACATTCTTTTATAAAGAAACGTTATCTTGAATTATTAAAATTTGTTGTTATGGTGAATATATTGTTCATGTTCTATAAAATGCATTTTTCAAAATTTCAGTATCTTATATACTTTGTATCATCAACAATCATGCAACAAAGAATTTAAATATAGAATTTTTTTGAGATACAAATTTGTGATTATCGAGAAACATATACAAACCATATAATCATATTTTTTTTTAAATGTATACACGTGTGCGTGTACTATACATACGTATATACATGTATAATTTCGAAAGCCTGATTTGTCAGTAAAATTTAACTTTAATCGTTTTCAGCATCCAAAAATCTATAAAAAACACCTTACCTGATTAAAAGAAACATTTTTTAAAATTAATATTATCTTTATTCATAATTTGTGAATGTACCATCAAATTCATTTATCGATGATTTTATCGACAATGGTAAAAATGTGATATGTAATTCACATCAATTTATAAAATTGATGTTGGTACCATTAGGGTACGGTGACTTTCGCCTCGCGAAAAGAGCGTCATGGTCTCTCTCAGGTTTCTCTCTGCCTCTAATGTAGAAGACTATACATGTAGTTATATTTTAAAGCCATAATAACTAGTGATAGCGGTTTATTCAAATGTTCAATTTGTTAATTCATTATTAAATAAAGAAACTTATTGTCTCTTCTGTTAAAGAAGAGTTCTGTTTATTTAAAAAATAATTTAACGAAACAAACTAATCTTATGATTAAATTTTGTTCAGATGTAGACAGATAATTATGATAATTATATTTTATTTAAAATATTTTTACGTAATTAATATATAATATAATTTAATTTTCATATTTTTCTAAAATTTATAAAATAAAAATTTGATTATTACTTACAAGCAACAATAGTATTTAATAATATATGTCTACATTGTTGGTATATTAAACATATATAGTACTTGCGCAAATGACGGCATATACATAGTGGAATTTATACACGTACGTTTTCAATTAATAATCTCGTTTATTTTAGCTTAGGTAAGGTTGCACTCTGTGTCTATATGATCACGCGTGTATATATATATATATATGCGTGAGTGTATAGATATGTACACATATATGCAATTGGATCAATTGTCAATAAATGTAAATTTTTCTCAAAAATTACTGTTAATTTTTCTTAAAAATTATTGTTTAATATTATCATTATACAATTAAAGATGTTCGTAAATACAATAAATATAAGAAGTAACTATGCACGTCATGTAAAAATGCAAATGATATAAAAATATTAGACTTTGAAACTTGTTAAACAATATTATCAATTTTTACTGACTAATCATATTTCTGTTAAGCGCCTATTTTTTATCATGATTTTATACAACTTTATTGTATTTTATTGTTTATGTTTTATGTTATGGTTTATTTCATTTTTTAAATATTTTCGTATCTCGTTTTACATATATATATATTGTGTGTGTACAAAATAATTTTATTCTTTTTCGATTTTCTGTAATTTGAATCAAATTAAATTGTATTCTAATTTGTATTCTATCTTCAAATAATTTTAATTTTGGGATTTGATCAATTGTGATCTGTCAATTGTCATTTGTGTGTGCTTCACTTCTGATCTCACGAGGATTCCAGTTCACTTTGATTGTTCAACTTCTCTCGTTGTTTCCTCAAACAACTCCGAGATAATGTAAGTTGTGAATAATTAGGATTCCTACCGCGGAAGCGTGATGCAGCAGATAATTAGCTGTAGGTACATCGCCCAGGAGAACATTAGTACTAATCTGTCTGGCATAGTTTCACTATCGCGTCCGCAATCGTATATTGCTCTT